TGGTTTTGAATTATCTATTTAAACTATAAATCGTTATATGAAATAAATAATAATACGCACTATATACCGTTATAAAATACTAAGTCTCTGTAAATTGCTGAATTAGTAGAGTATTAGGGTCAAAATTCAAATGACAAAGCCAAACATATACCGTTTTAATAATACGACGTCACCTTTTTTTGTAATTTTCCACCTACACTTACACTTGTCGAAGGTCTCACAAATAACAAACAAACATCTAGTAAAAAAGTGCAATCAGGCACTAACGATTTAATCGTACTCAGATTCATACTTTCAAAAATTAAGAAGAATTAAGAATTTTAGTATCTCACTTTTAACGTCGCTTGAGATGTAAGATGATTTTTGATTAAGATGTAACGATAGCGCTAAAATATTTTTTATATACATATATGTAGATGGAATTCGCAAATATTTAATGTTTTTTATTCACATAAATCATTGTTAAATTAAGTATTTTAAATGAAATGTGACGTCACAAAGCTTTGAATCCTCCCTCTCTCTGTTGCTTAACACAATGTCACATTCTTGTGATAACCACCGCTATGCTCTAACGTGTGACTAATGAAGTAGTTGAAAATAAATTAAAGGAATAGTCAAATCTATGTTATTGAAATATTTAACTGATAATATTTGTGAATTATTTTTAAAAACCTTTTTAAATTCACAAAAATTAGAACGGATGTTTGCAAAAATTGAGATAGCAATTTTTTTCTTTCAGTGAAAAAACTTGCTTCGATTACTTTTTCTATTAAAAACAAAGAAGTGTAATATGATCTTATTTTTGTTAAATTACTTTCAAACAAAAAATACTTAATCAACTCTTCCGAAGTAATAAACATAGATTGGATTGCTTAGTTTTTTTTTATCATCTTAATTAATAATAAATCTCAATCGTAATCAAAACCAAATCATAACTTTGAAACAGATTTGTTTGTTAAAATAATATATTACTATGCTTCATAATTTAATTTCAAATAATTGAATAATTTTAAACACTTTTAACTTTTTGAGTAATCTATAAATTGAACAACAGTCTTTCTTATTAGGTTCTGTTGACAGTTAATATAACTTATATCAACGGTCCAGAAGCAGTAATCAAATTAATATTAAATCGGATTTTCACGCTAAGGATGGTGGAAAATTCAATTTCGCATATTAAAACATTTAAGGCAAATGGATTCTGAGGCTTTTACGGTAACGAATTTAAAATGTTTTTCCTACTCCATATCTATTCCAGATTAAATTTGTTAATACTACATTATAAAATTCTATTTAAACTTGGTTCCCAAAAGATATAAATTTGAATGTATGCCCTTCTTATTTACGAATAGTCACATATAGTAAGGATATAGATCCTTACTATACCTATAAACTTTTTATAAATTTGAATGGAAACCCGAAAAATTTTAAATAATTGTTATACTATGTGTATGTATATAATTATGTGTACATATATGTACTTGTATGTAGGTATGCAGTATTGAAAAATTAATATTAATTATAAAAATGAATTTTATTAGAATATAATATATAATACACTAAGTATGTTTGTATTACTTTAGGAATACGATTAATAGTTAGCGTAGATACCTGCTTGTTTGCGCCCCGATAGCACTTGAAATGAGTCACGCCCGCTTTTGGTGACCGGTTGTTATTGCAGTTTTAAACACAATCTCCGACTCACGTTTATAATTATTATTTTTGTATGGATATGTATTAAATATGATATTTCCAAAAGTTTTAACTTTCTTGGCATCGACTTTCTGTCTAACGTTAATATTCTTCGTATCATACTGTTCTTGATCATTTATTCTAGAGAACCTAGAATATAAGTAAATGAAAAGAAATGAGAAATATAATACAACTGAAAAGTCTTAGTATGATCTTATCATATGTAATTCAAATAATATTGACTTAACATTGCGATGTCTGTTTTTTTTTCTACTATTTGTCATTTTTTTATTACAAGTTTTGTCCTATATTAAATGATAATAATTAATTAGAATCATTTACTGCGAACGAGCAGTATGCACGACAGCTCAACGCTAGAGGTGACACTGCGACTGAGATGGAGCATTAATTGTTCATTGTTAATATATATTAACAATAAATATATATATATATATATTCTAATATTAATATTGTCGTTTGCCGTTTGCTTCCCATCTCATGTACATAGATATATCACTCAGTCAGCATTCCGCTTAGACTGTTTATTGTTATTGTCATTATTATTATTTTACTTTCGTTATTTTATTGTAAGAAGTTTTTTGCTTGTTTTTTTTTGTTTAGATTTACTTTGTATTTTTTTATTATTATTCTTTTGTCACAGCTGTCAGCGCATACCTTATGGAGACCGCTGAAAATCAGTTTAGAAGCATCATTGATGCTTCTTCTTCAACTGAGCGAATCTCCATTTGGTATTGTTGCACTGCTGCACATTTTCTTTTTTTCTTTTTTCTTATTATAATAATATTTTTTTCTTGTGTAATTTTATTTTTTGTATTTTTTATGTTTTTATTTGTGAATAAGATCGTTATTGTGTTGTAGTGCGACTTTGACCAATAAATATTTTATTATTATTATTATGAAAAATGATTCTATATCAAAGACTTAAGTCTGAAGAGGAACGTATTCAGAACCTTTCTATTTTATTTTAAATGTATTTACAAAATAAGAAAATAAAAATAGAATTTGCGAGTTGCAAACATTTAAATTAAAAAGTTTTTGATATTAAATTTTAAACCTCTCTGGTAATCTAATGTGGTATATTTCATTGATTTGTCATTTGTTTTTGTAAATTGGCGGCAAGAAAATTCTTGTTACACGTGAAATTAAGACTTTCGTTGGGGCTTATTCAACAACAAAGGTGTGATCGGATGCTATTAGCATTTCTTAATGAAGATTCATTTCTTACCGCTGCATACAATTGGTTTAACTAATTTAAGCGTGGAAGTAGCAATCTAAATGATGATCTGCGTGGGGGACGTCCTTTAACATTGACTACTGAAGAGAACACTGATGCTGTGCGATGCATGATAGAGGAAGATAAGACAGTGATTTACGAGCAGATAGCATAGGCATTGGATTAAATCAAGTTCAAAAAATATTACTCCAACATTTAGCCGTCAGGAACCTTTGCACCAGGTGCACCATCCTCTAATCGACGACCTTAAACACCTTCTCATGGACTGGTGTTGCCAAATGTGAGATAAATTCAACGGCGGAGACTCAAATGCTCTACTTGACATCGTCACAAGGGATGAAAGCTGAAAATATTCCTACTAACCCAAAACCAAAAGACAATCAACTCTGTGGGTGTTTCCTTTCAAGAATCAGCCAACTAAGGTAACGAAAGGAATAAGTCAAGGAAGAAATATGATTGCCTCATTCATTAGTTGGAAAGGTCACTACGAGACAGTTATGCTAGGAGATAGAAAGACAGACTGCAGACTGGTATGTCAATCGCTGTTTGTTATCAAAAATTTCGGTTGTAGCTCTTTCGAAGTGGGATCCTCTTTCAACACGACAATGTTACAGCACACTATGCAAAACGGATTTTTGAATATTTGACTATGGCAGGTCTCAAGATAATGAATGAGTCATCCACTATACAGTTTTGATCTAAAGCCCTGTGACTTTTATTTACTTCCAAAAATTAGAAATAAAATTCGAGGTGGCACGGCAGTGCCCCCACCAAGTTGAGCAAAAAAGCGTCACGGCCGTACCATTCTTTTCTCGAAGCAATTTTCGACCCCCTTTTTTTTTTTTTTTTGTTGTCGCTGGAAAAATGCTTTACGCATACCACTCTACCCGGGGTCGGCAGATGTGGTTATGTGGGACTCCTAGGTTTAAGTACCCAGTTTACCCACTAAAAAACCAGCGGAATTACTCCTCGCCACATAAGGTGGAAAGAGGCCGCGGTAACGCTTTCGCCCAGCCCGCGGCCTCCCGGTATGGCTTACCGGTCACGAACCCAAAGTAGTATGGGTTCGCAGAGTCATCCAGAGACGTGCCAGGATGGTACGACACGTCATCCGACTCGAGGACCTTGTTGTAGCGGGATGGCAGACTCCCCGTGTCTGCCATCCCGGGTCCTCCTTAAGGGGGAAGGCGACGGTCGTGAGCGAGCCGCCTACGCCCAACTCTCCTGCGGCGTTCTTGGCTCGACATTGGGTCGTTTTTCCCTCTGCCGTTCCGCAGCTTCCTTTTGCACCATGACCGTTTCGCAAAAGGAGAGGACCGCCTGCCACGACCTAGAACTATCGACCATAGATTTAACTACGGTCGATAGAGATAGGTCGTCCCCTATTTTAGCGACGAGGTTCGCTCGTTCGCAGGCCCAGGATGGACACTCTTCAAGGGTGTGTTGTGCTGTGTCTTCAGTACAACCACACCCATGGCATACTGGAGTTGGCTCCCTTCGAGCCACACGCCAAAGGTACCTTCCAAAACATCCATGCCCGGAGAGGACCTGGGTCAGTCGGAAAGTAAGTGTTCCGTGTTCGCGATTTAGCCACTGAAGCAGAATCGGACGGATCGCCTCAACTGTACGGATGCCTGCTTTCGGCTGAGCTAGCCTCGTCATCCACTCCACCGTAATTTTCGACCCCCTACAACTTCAAGAAGAAGGAACTTAACAAGAAATTCATGAATGGTTCATCTAAAATCAAAAAACTAATCATATTTCGTTATAACATATATGATATATGATAATACATAAACTATATTTATTTTTATTAAAAATACTTTTTTCCTAAAATACTGTTTTAATTTGAGTTCTGCATATGAATTAAATCGATATAACTATCGAACATGTGAGCAACCGATTTAAAATCTTCTCGGTATTAGTTGTATATTCTAGAAACTGGAATGAGTACCGACGAATAATCAAAAAAAAAAACACAAATTAACACTACATTTTTTTTATATGGTTTCAACATAATTGAGTAATTAAACATTTTTGTGTTACAATTAGACTATTCACATATCGTAAAGAGACTAAGGGCACACATTTTCACTTTATGGAATGTTTCAAACAAACCTAAGATAGGTCGATTTTCATAACGGTTATCTTTAGGAGCAGGATAGAAAACTACAGATGGTGACTGAGGTGCTGGAAGTGCGGACAACCTCTGTCTAACATGTTGCCGCACACGGCTTAACCTTCCTACAGCTACAGCTTGCTGATTGCTGATTCCGTATTGTTCATAATATTGTTTAGGGTATGCATATTTCTGACGGTATGCATCAACGACATTGAAAACCCCCTCCGAGAACCCTGTTGAGAGATAAATCGAATTTAAAAGTCATAAGGGTTGATGGATTAATGAAGTTACTATTTTTTTTTATGTCAAAGGTGGCAAACGAGCAGACGGCCTACTTGGTGTAAGGTAGTACCGCCGCCCGTATGTACATCCGCAACATGTTTGTTGCGAATGCGTTGCCAACCTTGTTTTTTCAGGAATAGGAAGGGGTGGGAATAAGGAAATGGTAGGAAAGGGTGGGAAATAGGAAAAGGGCAACCGGCTCTCTCACTCATCGGACGAAACGCAGCCACTAAAGGCTACTTCACACCGATCTTCTGTGAGAGGGTGGTACTTCCCCGGTCGAGCCAGCCCATGTTCGAGCTGTAGTAACTTACCACAGCTAGGCTCTACCACCTAAAAATAAGTTACTAGCTACTAAAAATAACAACTTTACTGCAGTGGTTATTTAAATAAACAATAATCGTCTGATTTGTAATTAATTTTTATATGGTCAATAAATAAAGAAAAAAAAATTGAATATAAGAAATGTAAAAAAGCAATAGTATTATCTTCTACTGAAGATAAATCAAAGTTCATTTAATCATAGCAACGGTTTTTAGAAAGAAAACTAATTATATAGTTAAATTATTATTTACATGATGATCCTAGAGTGGCGACGAGTAGAACAAACAGGATTTTGCGGAAGAACATGATCACTCGAGTTTCGTAATCCAACTGCACTCCAAGGTTGTCTTCGTCCAATTTATTTCATTATCAGTAAGCTGCTCAATGTGATGTAATATAAGATGTTTTGACCCGAGAGAACAATAACATGATAACCCCTTCTGGATTAACATTTTATTTGGAGCTGATAAATCCTATCACGAACCATTTCCTACGAGACCCTAATTTTTGTGAACGGTAGCAGCTCATTATCATTGAACTAATTGGACCCAACAGATGTATGTAACATATGTCTTGACCCGAATATGACCCCAGTTCTTGGAAAAACCATACCAAAACCAAATTCGCAAAATTTCCGAAAGAAGTAGGAATGTTGATAAAATATCAAATTGGGTTTTTATGATTTTTTTCGCGGTAAGCGATAAAGGCGTGATAAAATAATTTAAAAAAACACAAATTTTTGGCGTTTTATGATTCTAAATTTCAACAACGAAAAGGCTCCTGGAAACACACGAGTGACAAAAAATACGCCCTTTACCTATTATTTAGCTATTATTTCACATATTCCTGGAATTTAGGTAATATTTTTTATCAAGTAACGGTTTTAACTCTATTGCCAAAAAATAACTTGTGTCTCCTCACTGGCGGTATTTATTTATTTAACGATAAGAATGGCTTAAAACCTTTCCTTATTTTAATTCAATAAATATCAAACCATCCCGCTTATATTACACACTAGCTTTTTCCCTGTAGCTTTTACGGCTTCAAGGACCTACTTTTATTGTGATTTAAACTTTGGGACCGGTTTTACTCTTTGCGCAATTGTATTATAGTATAATTATTTAAATAAAAGTCATATATTTACCTGATAAAATCTATATGTTAAGATAAAAAAATATACTAACTTATCTTTCTGAGTTTTATAATATCTACACAATATATTGTACCCGATATATGTATATTACTGTGAATTTATGGGAATTTGAATATTATGTGGATATTCAAAGAGATATTTGCCAATTCGATAAAAGTTTATGACACATTGATTCCTAGTTCCTATCGATCTCCAATAAATCAATGACTAAAGCAACTAGAGGACTTGATTTCGATAAAATATATCTGAATCTTTCATGGGTATAGTACTTATCAATACCTGTTATTTCAATCTTCATTTATATGCATTACTGTTTCAAACAAAAATATGGAATAAAAATATAATAGTTCTTCATATGAAGTCATCTTTCGACTTACTTATTTTCTTATATATAATATAGAAACTTAAATAATACCTTTATAATATTATAGAATTATTTATTTTTATAGAGGTTGACCTCTGAATTGTTTCTTCGACTCTTTTAAAAGCTATTTGAAACCTTACAATATTAAAGGAATACCTGCACGATAATTATAGACAATGACAAATTTTTAACGACTGTAGCTTTATTATGTGAAATAACTTAACATCTCATAATATTAATACAATTATATATTAACTTATTATGTTAATACTATTATATATTAACTATTAAAACATACTCTCCAGACAAACAGCTCACGATAGCAAAGAGGATTACTTGGGGTTGAATAGGAATAATTATTTAGTTTTAAGAGTAAAAATTATATTTCTTCGACTATATCCTTGTAATAAACTTTTCTATTTATAGAAATATCTCAAATATTATTACAATGGATAAAATTTCTTATACTTATATTCTGTAGCAATATACCCTAAAAAGTAAATATAAGAATAGTAGAGGGTGACAACTGTTGACTTCTGAACGTGTGTCTTCAATCTCATAACATAAATGCTCTTATGAAAAGTAATTTACATGAAATAATTATTATACAGGATTAAAGTGAATTTCTGTCGATTTTGTCACTGGTCATAGAGAACATTTCGTTCATTTTAGATATTCTATAATTTAAGACTATATTTGAGAAAAATGTATGTAGTTTATTATTTATTTAAACATAATTTATTAAACGAAATAAATAATACGTACAATATACTCTAATAAAATACTCAGTTTTTGAAAATTGCTATTTGCTAGGGTATTAAGGTCAATTTACAAATGACGAAGCACAGCATATGCCGTTTTAATAATATGACGTCACATTTTTTTTTATTTTGTACCTACGCTTACGATTACACTAGTCGAAGGTCTCACAAATAACAAACGAACATCTAGTGAAAAAAGAGCCAGCAGGTACTAACGATTTAATCGTACTCAGATTCATACTTTCAAAAATGTTTAAAAATTTTAGTATCTCACTTTTAACGTCACTTCAGAAGTAAGATGAACAATAACTGTAACGCCTTAATAATTTTAAATATCAATAGAGCTCGCAAATATCTAATCTTTTTATTCACATAAATCATTGTTACATTCAGTATTTTAAAGTCAGGTATGTGACGTTACAAAGCATTGAATGTTCATCTCTCTGTCGCTTGATACAATGTCACATTCGTGTGATAACGACCCCTATGCTCTAATGTGTGACTAATGAAGTGGTTGAAATTAAATAAATGGAAAGTGAAACATATGTTATTAAAATAATAAGCTGATATTATTTCTCAGTTTGTTTTGATAAACTTTTGAAATTCTCAAATAGTAGAACGGATGTTTTCAAAATTACGGTAGCATTTTTTTATTACATTGAATAAACCTGATACGATTACTTTTTTATTAAAAACAACGAAGTGTAATATAATCTTATTTTGGTTCAATTAATTTCAAGCAACAAATACTTGATCAACTCTTCTGAAGTAATAAACATAGATTGGATTGCTTGGAAATCGTCAAGTATCTGAGTTTTAGCTTTGAGAAATTGTTTATTACCTTAATTAATATTTAATCTTAATCGTTATCACATCTAATTCATGATTTGAAATAAATTTGTTTGTTTTAATAATATATTATGCCTCATAATTTTAATTAAAAATAATTGAATAATTTTAACTTCTAGAATAATGTATACATTACGCAATAGTCTTTCTTGTTGGGTTCCGTCGACAGAACTGGAAAAAAATGAAAAAAAATTATACAACTTATATCAACGGTCCAAAAGCAATATTCAAATTAATATTAAATCGGATGTTTCCTTAAGGATGGTGAAAAATTAAATTTCGCATAATAAAACTTCTAAGACAAATTAATTCTGAGGCTTTTTTTTTAATTTAAAATGTCTTTTTTACTCCATATCTATTCCAGATTAAATTTTTAAATACCACATCTTGAAATTCTTAACAGCTGATTAAATAATATTAATAAGATATAAGATAATAAGATATTAAATAAAAACAAGTTGAATTTATTATTCTAGACATAACCTAAAAGATAACAAAGAAACATTAGTTTTTAGAACCACAATATAATAAAGTAATAAAATATCTTTTATATTTTATATATTTTACATCTGTTGACCTTTTTATTTTATTATTTTGTTGACGCAGAGAAACTCTTTGCACGAGCCGTCCAACCGGCCTTGGTGGGGCAGGAAGGGATGTGTGAGACCTGGGCAGGTCCCTACTTACTAAAACCACTGCGAAAGCCATCGGCCGCTACGTCAGTGTACCCCGGATCTGTGAGCGACAGGACACACCAGCAAGTGGCCGGTCCTGGCAACGACCGGACTTACTCCCTCAGAGTATGGGGGCGATCCCGGCAATTAGGATGAATCTTCCGACGCCGAGCTTTCACCGGAGCCGGGTTACTTACTATCCTTTTATATGAACACAAATGCTTGATACTGACCGTCCAGTTATATGAAGTTTTTTTTTTTATGGTAAATTTATGTACTTTATTTAAGAAAATTTAGTTCTTCGTAGTTTGGTACTCTAAAATAATCCAATTTAAAAAGCATTTCCATTTAACCATCAGTTTGTAAAGTGTAAATCACACAACATAATGAATAAAAACATTTTATATTATTTATTTATTACGTACATTTTATATTGCATGTAATTCTTCGGCAATACTCTTATGTCTGTGAAAAAGCGAATAACAAATATGTCGCATATGAAAAATATTACCACGGCCTAGATTACAAACTTCACATAAAGCTTTGTCCCTTTTGCTATCAGGGACAAATGTTTTCATAATTATTATAAATGACATACTGCCTTTTTTAACTGTCAGTCAATTATAACAATGTTTAAGTCGATTTCGACGTTATGGATATGATTCTTAGCAACTTGTATAAAAGAAAATTACTTCACAATTAAATATGTATTTAAACAATCTATGTATTAATTAATTATTAATAGGTATCATAAATTCAAAAGTAAGAATATAATAAACACAAGAACTTAAATGTGCTTAGTGCTTTTGTTTGGGCAAACATGTTCCATTTTAAGATGTGTTTTATCTACTTTGAATGGAAACCTATAATTATGTATTTAAAACGCTATGAAATCGTTCTCGGATAAGCAAACCTTGAATAAATAAATTACGGTTTATGATGATGGTGTTATAGCCAATAGCCGCTTGCTGTAACTGTGATTCGAAGTTCATAAAGTATTTTTCCTGCACATGGAAAGGGTTCGGAAACGATTTGTTAGACATTTATTTTATCACTACGAAAATTTGTTTGGGAATCTATGATCTTTGGCTTAAAGTTCGAAGTATCAAATTATTTACAAAAAGAGTAATGTATATTAAACTATTTCGTTAGGAATTATTCACAAAAAAAAAAAAACAAAAGAAGTCAATACTTAATCACGGAGAGACACCTGTATCCTGAAAACAACTTAAAAATTATATCCACATGCACCAGAACAAATAATTACCAATTATAATCTCAAGTATCACATTAATATATTACATTTACGTAATTATTAATAGTGCACATGTTCTTAGAAACTAGTTTTAAATTTAAAATCATTTTTCTTTTTATTGGGTTCGGGTATAATGAACTAAAATAGTTAGTACTTTGTTTTTCATGTTCTATCATTTTTCAACTGCGTTTTATAAATATAGGATAAGTTATTAGTATGCTATAATTCCATCAGTTATTTGATATAATATCATGTATATTTTGAAATTAATGCCACATCAAGATTTCAGAAAACCTAGCCA